CGATTTAGACAAAATTTTGCATTGAGATAATTAAAACGAAAACTGAAAGAGAAGTTAGGCGCCATTTTTTTTTCTCTTTGAATATAAGACAGCTGCGATACAGCTGATTATAGATAATGAATCATTGAGATAATTAATCCATCAATAGAAAACAACTTATAGAACTCTATCGATACGTTTTCACAGAGTTTCTCTAGGGATGAATTTTATAATGGACGGTTTTCATTTCGAATTCAGATAAGATCAGGTGCTTGATAAAGATGACAAAACAGGCCCATCTTACGTAGTCAGCAGCTAATTCAAATAAAAACAGCGATTAGTATAGTTCAGAAAATTGAATTCTCGTTTTCTAAGAAGTATCGTTTTCGACAATTCTAGACATTCGTGCTTCGCAGGGCATTTCGTATTCGAAGCGAAGCTCGAATACCATCTAGTTTTTCTTTTACTTTCTCGACGTACGCATGTCAAGTCGCCATTTTGTGTCGCGATGATCTCGAGAACGGAAAGTCAGAAAAGCTTCGTTGAAACGTGAAGTGAAAGAATCGAGACGGAACCCGTGAAATCTTTCATCAAATCATCGAAAAGATCCCGAATCTACTCAAAAACTGGTTTCCTAAAAGATGATTTTGAACAATTTTAGCTTTGAGATAATTAAAACGAAAAGTGAAAGAGAAGTTAGGCGCCAATCTTTTTTCTTTTTGAATATAAGAGAGCTGCGATACAGCTGATTATAGATAATGAATCATTGAGATAATTAATCGATCAATAGAAAACAACTTATAGAAATCTATCGATACGTTTTCACAGAGTTTCTCTAGTGATGAATTTTATAATGGATGGTTTTCATTTCGAATTCATATAAGATCAGGTGTTTGATAACGATGAAAAAACATGCCCATCTTACGTAGTCAGCAGCTAATTCAAATAAAAACAGCGATTAGTATAGTTCAGAAAATTGAATTCTCGTTTTCTAAGAAGTATCGTTTTCGACAATTCTAGACATTCGTGCTTCGCAGGGCATTTCGTATTCGAAGCGAAGCTCGAATACCATCTAGTTTATTATAGATTTTTGTGTAAAAATAAATTGTTTATAGGAAAAGAGTTTTAAAGAGATATAAACAGCATTGTTGTGTTTCCATTACAGTTTTCAGATGTATTTTTTCGAATCTTCTTAATGTACAGTACTGGACAAAATTTTTCCTACAATTTTGTTTTGAATGTAACTCCATTGAAAACCTCACTTTAGATTCGAGGTTTTTTGGGCTACAATATATTTGTCATCTACAGTTTATTTACACAACAAATTTAACTCAGAAGATTGAGTCGTACTTAAACTGAACTTATAATATTCTAAGGTAATCTTTTCCTGTAGATGAAATTTTTCTCATACGAATTTCAAATCAAATTATTTTTCTTTGAAAATGTTTAGAAAAAAAAAACAAAATCTATATGGACTAATAGAAGAAAACATGAGCTACATTTTGGCAATCGAAACTTTTCTAAGTAAAACTTTCTATGAAACAATTTGACTAATTTTCCGGTAGATATGAATATGGTATAAATGTCAATTCTCTATCTCCGTAATTACATGAAGAATTCTTTTAAATACAACATACGAGCCAAATTTCTTATTAGTCGTTACATACACATTATCGAGATTCAGTCTTCATCAGCGATTCTAAGTATGACGTCGGTTTTCACAACAGATAGCGATGCGCATACACTATCAAAAATAGTGTTCGTCTTCAAAAGTCATCTTGAAAAACATTGTCTCAATGATTTGACGTTGTATTTAAAAAAAAAATTCTTCATGTGAATACGGAGATAGAGAGTTGACATTTATACCATATTCATATCTACCGAAAAATTAGTCAAATTGTTTCATAGAAAGTTTTACTTAGAAAAGTTTCGATTGCCAAAATGTAGCCCATGTTTTCTTCTATTAGTCCATATAGATTTTGTTTTTTTTTCTAAACATTTTCAGAGAAAAATAATTTGATTAGAAATTCGTTTGCAAAATTTTGTTAACGAAAAAAATTACCTTAGAATGTTCTAGGTTCAGTTCAAGTACGACTCAACTTTCTGGGTTAAATTCGTTGTATGGATAAACTGTAGATGACAACTATACTATAGCCTTAAAAATCTCGAGTTTAAAGAGAGCTTATTAATAGAGTTACATTGAAAACAAAATCGTACGAAAAATTTTGTCCAGCACTGTATTTTTTTAAAATAAATTTGAAATGAAACTTCGTATAGAGTTAGAGAAAATATCACGGTGAATCTGAATCTTTCGATAAATGAAAAAGATATCTCAAGCAAGGGAGAAAGAGCTGATACCATGCCTCCTTCATTCCAAGTGATTCCATTGATTCGAAGTGATTTTACTGAATCGAATTGATTCTAGCCAGAGATGGGCAGCTTCGACCTTTCCTCGCTCCAGCTCAGCTCTAGCTCCAAACATCCTCTAGCCGCTCCGCTCCGACTCCACTCCAATCAGAGTATCTTCCGCCCCAACTCAGCTCCAGCTCCAGACACTCGCTCGGTCGCTCCGCTCAAGCTCCGCTCCAACGGAAATTAAAAGTCATTATTTCATTAGAAAACTTTGGTTTTTTGACTCCTTCACAGATCACTTTTTTGTATTCATTAATGACACTCAGTTTCCGTTGTAAAAGATACAAATGGAAGAGGAAAAGGCACAGTTCTTAATATCTGTCTGACATTTTCTCGCTCCAGCTCCGCTCTGGAAGCGAAGCTAGCTCCGTGGAGCGGTCGCTCCGGACTCGGAGCTGCCCATCTCTGATTCTAGCCACTGAGAATAAGCTGTTTTCCCCTTGATCTCAATTCCATAAACAAAGATAAAATCGTAATATTAGAATTTATCCTGATCTATCTTCTTTTTATTAATTATTTCGATAGAGAAAAAGCGATGTCATTCTAGTTTTGCGTTTGAATCCTGATTACGGATTTTTTTTGTTCTCTTATTCTAAGCATTATTTTTTGTCGAATAAAATCTTATAATTTAAAATGATTTTTATTTATAGTCATTCGATAAACTAAGAAAAAATGCAATGACTACTGTTCAACATGCCGAATTTTGTCTTACAAGTTGTCATACTGGTTCAAATGAATCAATTCATACAGGAAAAAATCTGGTATCCACTCTCAGTAGTTATATGCCAAATTTGCAAACATTACGCCTTTGGCGAGATGATGATTTTCCTTGGACATCAAGTAAGTAGAGACTCATAACTAAAGAAAACTTTCTTAAATAATATTTATTCTTTTCGGCTAATTCTGAAATAATTATATATATTGTTGTATTTATTAAAATCCAAAGAAAATTTCCGATTCTAATTAAAACTTGTATTTTCATTTGACAATTCTAAGATCAATCTTAATATTTGATTGACTTAAGTTTTGCGATAGGAATATTTATATTGAATAAGAAAATTGAACATATTTCGACAAGTGCCAGTTGATTTTTTGTTTTCGACATGATGTTATTATATTCATTTGAATAGGACAAAAACTTTGATTAAAGATTGAAAAATTTTATCTTGTTAATGAGTGCTCAATTTTGTTTCATTGAGAACATTAGTGATGTAACTACGAATTTTTCAGTAATGAGTAATTGCCTAACGAAACTGTTTTGGGAAATGGATATCCATGGGCAACTATCATCATCTCAAGAAAACTTTCAACAAGAATTTTTGTAGCTTAGACAATTATTCAATGGTCGCACATCTGGTTACATCACTGTCAAATATGAAATATGTCAATATAACTATAATTGGAGCACACCTATTGTTTGTTTTCGTTTACAGTCACCAGTGATTTATCTATTGAGCGAGCTGGCTGGCCGGCGTCCATCCATAAATATACAGTTGATTTCATAAAAAAAAAGGTAGATATTTTTTCTCTCACTTTCACTCCCATTATCGAGAGTATTCATTTTGTGTGTTTGAAGTAGTAGTAGTGAAGGATTGTGCAATTGGATATTATTTGAATTCTCTACGTATCAGTCATATGAGTTTTTCCTGACGCTCTTTGCAACATCCTTCTCAGTGGACATTTGTCGATTTTTCACACCGCATAGAAAGACGTCCATTCCTATGTTTCTCCTGTGACTGTTGACCGTGACAAATTTAAAATAATTTATTTTCTACATAACTTAATTAATTCTACTATATTTCCTGATTTATCCTTATCTTAAATTGACATTATTAGGTTTCTTACATAAGAAGCTCCTTATTACTTTTAGTTGAAAGTAATTATATTGATCATTGTCTTATAGACGATACTTTCGTCTATACTTACTCATAAATCAATGATAATAGTATAGGTTGCCTTTCCCAAATTGGAACAAACAGAACTCACGAGGGAACGTTCAGAACTAATAAATCGCTTTTTAAATTTTAGTCATGCCAATTTGTAGAGCTTGTTGAATTATTTACTTATATAATAATCATTCGCGCCAACAATGCGGCTGTAGAGTAAATTTCTGATAATCGGAGTTTGCATTAACCTGTCAATACCCTATAGTGGTCCTATAAAGGCCCTATAGGGAAGCCTATTGGAGCTCCATATAGTGATCCTATAGGGCCTCTATAAGACCCCTATAGGGGCCTATAAGGTCCTGTAAGGACCCCTATAAGACACTATAAGCCCCTACAGGACCTTATAAGCCCTATAGGAGTCCTATAGAGGCCCCTATAGTGGTCCTATAGGATCCTACAGAAAAACTCTACAGGGTCCTGTAGGGCCTCTATAGGACACTATAGGATATGGACAGGTTAATGGAAACTCCGATTATCAGAAATTTACTCTACAGTCGCATTGTTGACCCGAATGATTATTATATCAGTTAATAATTCAACAAGCACTACAAATTGGCGTGACTAAAATTTACAAATCGATTTATCAGTTCTGAACGTTTCCTCGCCAGTTATATGAATAGTATTTATGTAATTCAAGTCGACTGTTCGTTGGATAGTCGATTCTTCCTAATGAGGTATAATAATAGATTGAAAAGAACTAAAATGAGAAAAATTATTTTTCTGTCAGACTAATTTTTTTTTGTCAATTCGCATACTTCACATTGAACATGTTCATTCTATTCAATTTCGCTACGACCCATCTCGAAATAAATGTCACCAAGACAAGTCTCTTATTTCATAGTTTAAAAAAGAAGAAAATCTAGAGGACTCTGCCAATAATTTCATAACAGAAAAGTAAAATAAATGATAATTCAAATAATATTGTAAATAAAGGTCTTTATTATATGGCAAAAGATTTATTAGCCAGCAGCTCCTTCAAAAATCTCAACCATCCGTTCGAAAAAGGAAACCTCGATAAGATATTGACAGTAAGACTCGTGGTACGGATGATTGTTCTTGTGTTTCATTTGACTGGGTTTAATCTTTTAATTTTAATTTTAATTTTATTATATAATAAAAAAAAGTATTTATACAAAATTATCTTCCAGGAGGAAATGTTTTCAGCTGTCCGATTGTTTTGAAATTGAAACTATATGCAAAAAATTAGACTATTGAAATCTAATCCATGTATGCCAACGCATGTCGAGAGAAACTTTTCACGTAACAAGAAATTTTCAGAGAATCATTGACTGAAAACAAATCTTTTCATATATGGATAATCAAGGGTAAAATATTCCTTTAGTAGATCTTATGACATGAGCTGTGCGTGCAGATTATCAAATTTATTAATTTAAAATGATCCTACACTATTCTTTTTTGTTGATTTTAACATTCAGAGTATCTCCCTATAAGTAGAATCTCACGTCAAAATACCATCACTTGATTTGTTGATATATACAATACTATGAACTAAATTTCAAGTAAAATGTCTGTAATTCTCGACATAAGACCTGAACGCGGATTTTTCATTTTGAACTTTGTTGTACATCATTGGGATCTATCATATGCATAGAGTCCGAATTCAAAAGCGATTTTACAATTGAAAAGGTTCTCTGGCGAGTTGTTCTAAAGTCTTTTGACAAAAGAATAATCGAATTGGGAAACTTCTTCATGGTAAAACTTAGTATTGGAGTTTTTTCTTTGTTTAAGTTCGACCAGAATATCCAGCAGGACAATTGTATCAAGTTTTGACTAGACAATGGATAAAATCTTTAGAAACACCTGAATCAATCGGTATGTATATAAAATAGATTGAAGTATAAATTTTTTGAAAATTATTTTTCTTTTTAGGTAAACCCCAGACAGAAAAAATAATGGTGTAATGGCATTAAAATGCCTTGAAATTTACATAATTATAATGATGCGAAACTGTCACAAAAAATGCCCAAAAAATGCTGTTCACGAGAATCATTAAAATGACTCTTTTTGGCCGTGAAAATGGTTTTAAATATGATAAAATAATGATTACCAAAAAAATCATTTTTTGTGACCGCTTGACACATATAATTATTTCAGTTCGTTGACATTTTAATGCCATGCTATACTCTAAAATAATGTTTTTAATACTGAGTCTTTTCTAAGTCCGAAAGCAGCGTCGAAATCTAAAGTAGTTTTTCCTAGGGACACACCAATGAAACCTTAGCGAGACTCCTTTTTAAGATCCGTAACATGCAAAAAGGTTCGGTATACAAAAATAGAAAGCCATTCTGGTTCGATGCTAACTCGCATAGGATGCATCCTAATTCCTAAAGGGAGTTCTATTGCACACGAATGACTTTGTATTTTTGCATACCGGAACCTTTTTGCATGTTACGGATCTTAAAAAGGTGTCTCGCAAAGGTTTCATTGGTGTGTCCTTAGGAAAAACTATTTTAGATTTCGACGCTGCTGCCGGGCTTAGAAAAGACTCAGTATTAAAAACATTATTTTAGAGTGAAATAGTCATTAGTACTATCGGAATATTTATTATACTTCTGCTTCATCACATATAATTTTCTTGGTTCATTTCTAATTTGGTATATTCTCTGAGTATCTTCACTGCTAATTCAAATATTTTATCTACACAACCATAATCGAAGTCAAAAATCTACTCTCAGAAAACTAAGCTGGAAAGGTCTGAATACCACCTAGAACTAAATCCAAGGAGTACTATGTAGTGACAACTAGCGTTTTCAACATATTCTTTCTTTTTTAATATAAGCCAGGTTGACGTTTGTACGAAAACTTTCATTAAATCATTCAGGTAAGAAATATATTTATTCATCATGAAAATAGATCTGTTGTTTCATATGATTTACGAACATTGAAAAAAATTTAGTGTATAATGAAAGATGGCTGCTAACGTGATCCTCTTTTGCTTCACATCTTTCGACTCATAAATGGATTAAAACTAACTACACAGAAGTTATTTAAGAATTAGAAAGTTATAATGTGATGAATCATAGATATGAGATCATATAAAAATAGTTAAGACGAAAACTTTAGAGAATACACAAAACCATAAAAAATTAATTATCCTGATCAAAATAAAGGACATGTAGATTTTTAAATTTAATTGGAACAGCATTGTGTGGTAGATCTTATATTTAGGCTATAAGTAGTTAGTGGAAATCTTTAGTTTATATCTAACTGTCAATATTTGACTATAAGTCTTCTAAAAAAACAAAATGTCTCATGAAATATTTTATTAGCGAACAAATGATTGATATATGTACAAAGCTTTATAAATACTCAACTGATCTTTCTTTCGTCTTCTTCCTGATACCAGATGTATCATACATATTTTACTCGATGAAGCTATTCTCTATATCATAATTATTCGTGCGTATTTTTTTCTCTTATCTCAATGGCGCATGGCAGTTATATGCCAACTGACAAGAATTTATTATAGAGCTAAAACATATTTTATCGTTTTATTCATAGCATAACATGAGATAGATTTCTTGGATTTAAAACGAATGGCCATATAATTTATAACTAATATATCGGTACTTATTATATATCACCCGGCAACATAATAATTAAATAGAAGATCTAATCCGCAATGTTATCCCGATTAAATTGAAAAAATTAAGGACTTTATTTTTCCTGGTAATGGAAATATATAACAACATGAGTGGCGATTGACTGATATAATAAGTTGCGCAAATGATTTCAAAAATTTAAGTAAGATTTCATCTTATGATGTGTTCTTAGTTATGTGAGATATAGATACGGCAAACTGGTTACAACTAGCTCGTCTATCTTTAAAATGAATTGAATTTATCTGTTTCTTCCTTTTACAATGATATCATAGTTCTTTGTTCGAAGACAAAGGTTATTATGAACTAATGAGAATGAACCAATGAGATTTATTCATATATACAGAACAGAACAAAATA